TCTTTCTTTCTTTCTTTCTTTCTTTCTTTCTTTCTTTCTTTCTTTCTTTCTTCTTGTTAAGTTGTATTAAACAGAAGGTAACAGAAATATTACAAATATACAATTATCATACTCTCAAAAGAGTGGGCAGAAGCACACTTATATTATCCCACCTCTTCTCCTGTAACCTTATTCCATCCCTTCTTAATGATCAAGAAAATTATTCTTAGTTTCTTAGAAAACTAATGTATCCAACAACACTTTCTCTTGCAATTTGTTTTTAGTCTAAATCCAAGTTTCAAACTCCAATTTACAAATTTGCCCTTTATGTTTATAATTTTACCAATGCACCAAGTTAGAATTAGTTTCTACTATTTGCAGAATTATTTTCTTTGAGAATGTCTTTTATATGAAAGTAAATGTGTTACTGCATGCTATCCTTAACTAATATAAAAATCAATCAAACTGAATCGTAAATCGTCCTGAATCYTTGTGAATCGAATCYAATCCGTCCCCTGTGAATCGAATCGAATCAATTTGGGAAATCTYAGTCTATACCCAGCCCTACTAACTCAGTAAGTACMCYGTATCTGTACTCMGTATTGGAGAGTACCCAAACTGAAGTACTCATACACGTACTTGGCTTAAGAAAAAAAAAAATGGTATCGGGTAGGGGTGTAATATTACATTGATCCACATCGATACTGTATATTGATTAAAAGATTAATGATTCAATTACATCAAGGCAAGGCAAAAARCTTGATTCATATCATATGATATCGCATCACATTGATCACAGACTCATCATCCAAACAAATCAATATAATTATTATAAGTTTTAAAATATAACTTATTGTAAAGTTTTACTAAGAGCAAAATTGTATTTGGCAGCTCAGAAACATTTACAATTGAAATCWGTGTAGAAAACTGTTATTGATGTGTCTTGGAGGCTCACCTCTGCAAACACCAATAAAGCTGTAAAAATAGTCTTTTCTGATSTCAAAGCTAGGACACATTTACTCATTTTGTCAGCTTTTATATCCAGAAGCAGACAACCTCGTGTTTGTCCAGTGAAAAGCAGCCTGTAATTATTTATTTCACACCCGTCAAACATTCAGTTCTGGGAAGAAGCACGAACCCTGACTTTTGGACAAGTACCATTWTTTGAATCAAGCAGATGTCATTAATCTTGTTATATTTTTCTGATTTCCCTGGATGACCCAGATTTCTGCTTTAATAAAAGTATATATCTGCTGAGAATTAATAACCTGTCACCCCTATTAAACTATTTTTTTTTCAGCTTCCCCTTTGAAGAAAGGTGAGAAAGGTGACATTTGGACCTGGCCCATCTATAAATCCCAGCTGCCTGTGACCTGTGGGAGTGCAATGGGAACACTCATACGAGACAGACTGGCTAAAGGTWAGAAACAAAGTAAAACTTTATGTCTGAATTGACTGACTTTGGAGACTTTACCTTTCTGGGTGCATTGGGTTTTTGTTTTTGTAGCGGTGACAGAAAAATACTTCTTTGTAGGACCTGAAATTCYTTGAGAGTCTTGTGCATATTTTGATCGATCCCCGCAAATCTAGTTTTTATAATGTGGGAAATTCCCACATACGATAAATTCCAGCTATGTGTAATACCATGAGTGTTTGCATCGGACTGTTTTCAGATGACACCTTGTACAGTATAAGCCTGCCTTAATGACCACCTCAGTCTGTTAAGAAGACACGGGGGTGGGGGGTAGGTTATTGACCCTTATTGGATTGTTGACTATATTAGACTGCATATAAATTCAGAAATTATGATGTATACTTGCTAATGACAGACACTAATGTAATGTTTGAGCATCATAAACAAAATAGTCACGTTGTCCGACAGGCCCGTGTATTCAGATATTTTCTACATCCAGTATTTGTGTTTTTCAACATTTCCAGAGAAAAAGGAGGAAAAAACATGCGTGCCAGCTGTGGGTCGGCTTCAGATACAGCCTGCATCATTGTGAAACTGAAGAATAAGTCTTTGTG